CAGCGGAGCGTGCGCACTTAACCACTTGCGCCACCGGGCCGGCCCCAAGAACTGACATTTTGACAATGTTGAATCTTCCTATCCATGAACATAATATATCTCTCCATTTATTTAGTTCTTTGATTTCATTAATCAGAGTTTTCTAGTTTTCCTCATATAGATCTTGTACAGATTTTGTTAGGTTTATACCTAAGTATTTCATCTTGGGAGTGCTAATGTAAATAGTATTACGTTTTTAATTTCAAATTCCACTTGTTCATTTACTGTTATATAGATATGTGATTGACTTTTGTATATTACCCTTGTATATGGCAACCTTGCTATAATTGCTTATTAGTTCCAGGAGTTTTTTGTTGATTCTTTTGAATTTTCTATGTAGATGATCACGTTATCTATGAACAAAGACAGTTTTATTTCTTCCTTCCCAATCAGTATACTTTTGTTTCTAAACAGAGAGACGAAATAAATGAACCCAGTATTCAATTCAATAAAATAGAATAGATAGGGAGATTCTGGTTAAGATGGCATATTAAATTCCTGCTTTGGTGCAATCCAAATCCTCAACTTCCTCCCCCCCAAAAATAGATAAAATATAAAAAAAGACAAAACAGAAGCAATGTTGATGGTAGAGGTTGCTGGACTGTGGCTGTGGGTACAGCTGTGGTGGGTGAGGGGAAGGAGTTAGCACCTGTTGGGTAAAGATTCTGGAGCCGGGCTTACAGCTGAAGCCAGCTGAGGGGTGAGCCTTCTTGCTTGTGAAAGAAGACAGAAAAAAAGAAATAAAGTCTCCTTTCTAGAAGGTTTTGGCCTGGGAAGACAACTGGACAGAGGGGATGACTTCACGTCCCCACCTGACCCAAGCTGCCCACTGGCTTAATAGCATCGACCAAAGAGCATTGTTCAAATAGCATTGTCCCCAATGTGAAGATGGACTAGGAGTCCTAAAACTACCTGTTTATAAGCTGGTATTTGGAAGATTAGGTGGAGGCAGCACAAAATCTTTCTTTACATTGGAAGAGGTAAACAGAGAGAACGAGAAAGAGAAAATGAAAGCAAAACAAAAAACCAAAACAACAACAACAAAACTTTCTCCAAACACAAGCTTGCAAAATCTATTGAATGTATAAAATATTTAATGATAAAAAGATATGACAAAATCAAGAAATGAAATATTAAATTTACTGCAGATAAAATTATGTGTAGTAGTTTGACATATTTGCAATAATTACATTTGATGTAAAAAGATATGGAAAGGAATAGTATCTATAAAAATGTGAACAATAATATGTTAAAAAAGCAGAAAAGCTAAAAACAGCAAGATATAAAGAGTCGATTAAAATCTTAGAAATGATACTGTTGAAAAAAGGTAGACGGGAGGGATTTTAGATTAGATGCAATTGAATGGTGAAATAATGAACTAGAATCTGGTACTGAGAAGTTGTCTCCGAGAACAACTGAAGGAGCTAGAACAAAAAGTAGAAAATAGTAGTATAGTATATTAGAAATAGAACTAGAAATACCTATATATTTTATATATTTATGCAATATATAATAAATATAAAAATAAATCTATAACTATATTTTTATATATATAAGAAATAGTATAGAGACCTGGTAAATGGACCTGGAAAAAGACTCTCCTATATATATTTGATGAGAGTTCTAGAATAAGCAAAGAAAAGGAATGATGAAGATACAGTATTTTAAGAGAGAACTTTCAGCACTGAAACAAACAAAATTATTTGAGACCTGAGACTGAAAGAGCAATCTAAGCTCTCTAGGCTAGATAAATAAAAACAAATCCACACCTGGGCACATAATACACTGCAGAATATTAAAGAATTAAAGAAACTCTAAATGCATCCTAAGGGAAGAAACCAATAATCTACAAAAGGATGAACGTGCTGACAGCAACAGTAGGCGCTGGCAAGTAGGGATAATATCTTCAAAACGCTGGTGTAGCTAATTTGACCTGTATGCTGGACAGCCCAACTGGAAGAATGGCATAATTGCAAATTTAGTTGGTCTCCCACTGTCCCTTTAAAATATTTTCAGTAAAGGAAATCCTTTTCCCCTCTGAAAATGAGCAGGCCCATGATATTTCTGAGCACTTTGGGGCTAATAAAAGGTTTTATTGGCACTTTATGATATGAAACACATTTTCAAACCAGTACCTAGACTGTCCAGTCTCATTCCATAGTTAAATCTCCTAACTTAATTCACAATTATGCCACTCTCCCTCCTTTCAGCAGAGGTTTCTGCAGAGGAGGCCAGGGAGGGGAACAGGAAAATGTCGCAGGACATGTTCAGAGGTGGTTCTGCACTCTCTGGGCCTGAGTAATGTTTGAAGCTGGCTCTAATTCGCATGGACTGACCTAACATGCCTTCTGATCTTCCCTTTCCTGCAGTTACCTTTGCCCTCTGTCCTCTGGCCTCGGAGAGTCCAATGGTCCACCTTTAGCCTCTGGTGCTGAGACCCCACTGCCTACCAGAAGCCTATGGACGGGGCCTCAGAGGACTCATGCCAGCGCTTTCAGGATAAAGTTCATGCCTCTTTTCACCCTGACAATCTCTGGGGTGCTGGCTGATCCTGCTCTGGTCACCTCTCCCTCAGTTCCTCTGTCAGCAGCTAACCTGCTGTCACTAGCCCTTCAGATTTCACAGGCAGGATTTGAAAGCCAGCCCAGTGTGTCCACCACACCTCACAGCCTACACATTAAGCTCTCTACATCATTCAGTTGGAGCTCCATAGTAGGAGTTGGCACCACTCTACCCTACCATTGTCCTGGGTAAGGATAGGAGACACAGCACAGCTCCTCTCCACTGTTTTCCATAGGATATCTAAAAGGTTGTTTAACCACTGTTGAACCATTTCCTGTGAAAATGTATATACCTTAGAGGGTTCTCTGTCTTAGAACTCATTTTGTACCTTGGTGCCTTGAATTTTCCTACTGAATATCCTATTATACCAACCAAACTATTATTCAAAATAATTTAGACATTTTTAGATATAAAAAGACTAAGAGATTTGACAACTGCCAAAACATATTGATATGTATTTCAGCAAGAAGAAAAAAATAGAAAAATGAACTTGGAGGGAAAATATGGATGTAATGTGTACAGAAATTAATTAACTATGAGAGTATATTTAATTAACTATTACATTTATTTTTATTTTTTGTTTTATCAAAGTTATGCAGCCACATAATTTAAGGAGTCAAGTAATTTTGTAGAGCATGTTTTTAAAAAACTGAACAGTTCCCTAGTCCTCCATCCCCCAGGCTCTCTCGTCAATCTTTTTTTTTTTTTTTGTGAGGAGATCAGCCCTGTGCTCATATCTGCCAATCCTCCTCTTTTTTTGCTGAGGAAGACTGGCCCTGGGCTAACATCTGTGCCCATCTTCCTCCACTTTATATGGGATGCCGCCACAGCATGGCTTGACAAGCAGTGCGTCGGTGCACACCCGGGATCTGAACCAGCGAACCCCAGGCCGCCGCAGCGGAGCGTGCACACTTAACTGCTTCCGCCACCTGGCTGGCCCCTCTCTTGTCAATCTTATCCAGTCTCATTATTTAAAAAAGAAATCAAGTATACACTATGAACTTACATATTAAGATTTCCAGTGTAGACCATTCCCTTGAACTCTAGACATGTCTATCCAGCTGCCTACCTGAGCACTGCACTTGGATATCTAATAGATTAATAGGGTCACAACTGAACTCTGGACTTTCCTCTCCAAACTTACATCTCACCCCATATTCCTCACATCTGTGAAAGAAAACTTCAGGCTACCAGAGGATCAGATCAAAATTAAAATCTGCTATCTTTTAAAAAATGCTACATCAAACCCATCAGCAAATCCTGTTGGCTCTGTCTTTGAAACATTCCCAGAATCTCACCGTCACCATCACACCCCACAGATCCCAGTCCTTCCACTCTGGTTTTTTCACTCAGGTCTACTCACGCTCACCTCTTTGCTGTTCCGCGAGCATTCCCTGCACTAGCCCACAGCAGCCCCTGCTGTTCCCTTTGCCTGAAAAATTCTTTCATCTGGATAGCCTCCTGGCTGCCTCCATCCTACCTTCAAGTGCTCCGCTTAACTGGACACCTTATCAGTAAGTGTTTTCATGACCACTATATGCAAAAGGCCACGTCACTTGGCACCAATCATTTTCTATCTTATCTCTTTCATATTTATTCAATATCTATCACCATGTCACACTCTCTGTTCCTCATATCCTCTCTCTCTGTCCCCTTGTCTCTATCTCTCTCTCTCTACACACACACAAACACACACACACACTTATTTTGTTCATTTGTTTTTGTTTATTAGTTTATGAAATGTCTTCTCTCCCTAGAATGTGAGTTCCATGAGAACGGAGACTTTATTTTACTGCTGTGCCTAGAATAATGCTTGCCATGTAATAGAGATTCAATATACTCATTTTTTAGTATTGAGGTACAAAATACATCCAATAAAGCACACAAGTTTTAAGTGTACAGCTTAATAAATTTTTACATACACATATACACACAAATAACCCCCACCAAGATATAGAGCATTTCTATCACTCCAGAAGTTTCCCTCATGCCCCATTTTCAGTCAATACTCAGAAAGTAACCAGTGGTGAGACTCTGTCACCACATAGGGGTTTTGCCTGTTCTCGAACTGCGTATAAATGAGCCACACAGTTTGTACCCCTCTGTGTGGCTTCTTTTGCTTTCAATTATGTCTATGAGATTCATCCATGTTGTTGCTGTACCGTTAGTTCACTTTTTTGTTTTTATTGCTGGGAAGTATTCCATTGTATGAACATACAACAACATATTTATTGGTTTTCTTGCTGGTGGAATTTGGGTTGTTTCCAGTTCTGGGGACTTGTGCGTACTCTTGTACATGTCTTTGCGGGGAGAGGCGTCCGTGCGCCTCTGTCGTGGGCGTATATCTAGCAGGGTTTTACGGTGTCACAGGACAGCCATGCGTTTGACTTTAGCAGACACTGTCAACAGTGTTCCAAAGTGATTGTACCATGTTACGCCCCGACCAGCTATAAACACTGGTTATTTTCCCTTCATTTTTCTACCCTGGCTCTTTCAGGAAAAGGAAATTGCTTGTCTGATTGGAGGCCATCACTGTAACATTCTAGGAACTAAACAATTTTGTATTCAGATCAAATTCAATCTAAAATCTTCAGAACTGATAACTCACTCACTAGGCATGTCAGCCCATTACAAGAGGCCACTGCATAGGTGACCTCTATCTTCTATTTTTCAACAAAATTTTCAACTGATTTCAGTCAAAGTCTACTGTCCTGTGAGGATGTGATCTGCCAGAAATCAAGTAGCTTTCGTTTGTTGATACCTGTTGTGAGTTGAATTGTGTCCTTCAAAGAGATATGTTCAAGTCCTAACCCCTGTAATTGTGAATGTGATTTTATTTAGAAACTGAGTTTTTGTAGATGTATTCAAGTTAAGATGAGGTCATACTGAATTGGGGTAGGCCCTAATCCATTGACTGGTGCCCTTATAAGAAGGGGAGATTTGGACACAGACATAAAGAGAGAATGCCATATGTGATGGCTGATTTTAGATGTCAATTTGACTGGGCCATAGGCTGCCCAAATATTTGATCAACATGATTCTGGATGTTTCTGTGAGGGTGTTTTTGGATGAGATTAATGTTTGAATCAGTAGACTGAGTAAAGCAGATTGCCTTCCTTAATGTGGGTGGGCCTCACCTAATCAGTTGAGGGCCTGACTAGAACAAAAAAGCTAACCCTTTACTGAGTAAGGGAGAATTCCTTCCTTCCTGATTGTCTTGAACTGAGACATTGGCTTTTCTTCTGCCTCCAGACCCAAACTGAAACTTAGGCTCTTTTGGGGCCCAAGCCTCCTAGCCTTCTGACTGGAACGGCACCATTGGCTCTCCTGGGTCTCCAGCTTGCTGACTCACCCTGCAGTCCTTGGAATTTGCCTGCCTCCATAATTGCATGAGCCAATTCCTTATGATAAATCTCTTCATATATGTACATCTTACTGGTTCTGTTTCTCTGGAGGACTCTGACTAATACACTTTGTGAAGATAGAGCCAGAGATTGGCTCTACAAGCAAAAGAATGCCAAGAGTTCTGGCAACCACTGCAACCTAGGAAAGAGGCATGGAACAAATTCTTCCTCAGAGCCTCAGAGCTTCCAGAAAGACCCAACCCTGCCAACACCTGGATTTCAGACTTCCAGCCTCCAGAACTGTGAGGGATTCCATTTCTGTTGTTTTAAGCTACCCAGATTGTGATAATTTGTTACACAGCCCTCGGAAACAAATACAATGCCTTTGCTCAGTGAGCCCAAGCCAGAGTTTGATCATCAGAACCCACAGGTGACAAAATGAGAAGTTGAGGGCTTTTTCCCCTTGAATTATTTGAACGTTTTATCTGATAGGTATCTGACCATAAGAACGTTCTGTGCTCAGCATCCTGGCACATGAGCCATATGAATAGGCACTGTGGAAGTCCCTGCTGTGAGAGACCTTCTGCCCCAAAAGTTCATAGTCCGCATCATGGTTGCTGCTGGCAGAGAGAATCCAGCAGACAGATAGCAACACCTACATGCAGCAGTTCCTGGGTGAGGGCGGTCCCACCCAGAGGACGCTGCTCGAGTTGTGGAATATGGTGATGCTTGTGGTGGTAATGGAGGAATCACCTACTAAAACAACTAGTTATAGTCTAAGTGGAGAATCTCCTCAAGTGCTGTGATTCTATTTAATACACACCTGCAGCTCATCCTAACCCTGCACACGGACCTCATGGATGTCTGGGGCCCTTACCAGCAGCATGGCTCTGCCCATATGCCGTTCCTGCTGCACTCACACTCTCACAAAGTCAGACCCAGAGGTCCAAAGGGGATACGCAGCTCGCTTTGATTTGGGAGGCCTAGTGGAAAGGTAGCCTTCCAGGGGAGAACAGCAGTGGAACACAGACCAACGAGGAAAAGGCAGGCACAAAGCAGACAGGCAGACAGAAAGCAGTGTGAGAACTAGTTCGGCTTCAGTGCCCTGATGGTCTTGCGTGCCTCTACATAGGTCACATAGGGAAGGCTTAGCCGCGGTCCCACCCAAGACGATGGAACAGCCTGTGACAGCACTGGAACGCAGGGAGATGAGCAGCCTAGTGAGCAGCTTCTCTCCCTCCCTATCTCAGAGGAGGCTGTCTCTCATCTCTACCCCTGGTGTCAGGAAAGCACTGGAAGTCGTCTATGTGCCCCTGTGGGAACAGCTGCAGGCTATGCAACTACATGGCTACAGTTAGAATTGGCTCTTCAGCAGCTGAGTGACCCACTGTCCATGCTGCTTGTCGTCTGGACCCTCTGGCTCAGTCACCCTGTGGGACTAAGGACCTGGGGACCTGACACTGTGCTGTTTGGCATTTGCTGTAAGTCACTGCCTGTGAATGCACTGAGGCTCGCTGTCTCCTCACAGACTGAATGTACAGGAGTATGGCAGGCAGACCCAGCAAATGTAAGTGGTGATACTTCTTGCTCTGTTCGTCCCCTGTGACTGCTTGGGGACCGCTTGACTGCCGGGCAGGAACATGTGTCAGTGGAAGAAACATAATCTCCAGAATCAGAGATGAAGTTCTGATAACCGCTTCGGACGACTTACTAAAGCACTCTGAGCCTTGTCTCTCTGTTGCCAGGTAGGGATCATAATACCTATTTTTCAAAGTGGCTGTGAGAATAGCATGAGATACTAAATTCATTGGGCTTGGATTCATAATATCAAAGTCCCTTATGTGGAAGTAGGGCGTCAAAAGATGTGAGATTATGTTGTACCAAAAAATTTTCCTAAAAGGCTGTAAAATTTAGTCAGCCATGATAATACGGTTTCATGATAATCACATCCATTGGGTGTTTTTATCATTTTTACACTATATTTTTTGCTATTAAGTGAAGATGCTCAGCTATTGCTTTAATTTGCATTTTTGGTTGTTATTTGGGATCATATTTTCTCATGTTTTGTTTACTATTTGTAAACGTGTATACAGTTTTGTGTGTGAAATATTTTTATCTTTTTTGCAGCTAATGAGATGTTAATATAAAAAGATCAATTAAAATGCAAAGTTAAATTTTAAAAAATATGATTAGTTTCCAATTGTAATATTTAAAAAAATTTTTTCTAGCCTGTTGCTTCTTGGTTTGTTTTTTTCTTCCTTCTGCAGGTTGTGAATATTTTATATTCAAACATGTTTGTTTATCCCACTGTGGTTTGTTATATTGCTTCAAAGCTGATATTGCTCTCCTGAAACAGATCTGATAAATATCCCATTATATTACTTGTAGATTTTCTTTTTAGGTATTTAAAATTTTATTTTTTGTTTGATCTGGAAGTTATTTTGCTTGGATTTACCTTAAATATTTTTACAAAATTGCTAGGCACTAAAAATACTATCTTATTAAATGATATTTCAGTGTATACTTGTTCTTGATCTCCTATTGATCAAATAATGCATTTTGATACACAGTTACACTATTTACGCTCTCTCCTCTTGTTTTTTGTTGATATTATCTGAGATCGAACATTTTCTTATTATTTGTTCACTATACTTATTTGATCTATGTGTTTGTCAAATAACCCATTTAAAAAAATTAAGTTCATTGATTTTTATCTCAATGATAAAAACAATAGATGAATCATTTATAGGATGTGTAAAAAATACAGAAAAGTAAAAATAAGAAAAACTTACTCATAATCTAAACATTGTTAATGTTTTGTTAACATTTGTTATATTTCATTTCAATTTTTATTATATGTAATTTTTAGTGTATGAAGTTCCATAATCTATAAAATTGGGGTAATACTTGAACCTACTTATAGAGTTGTGAGGATTAAACACAATTAAATCTATGAAGCATTGAGTATGGTGTTCAACATATAGTATTTAATGAATATTCATTATTATTTTTTATTTACGTTGTTGTAGAATTTTGTAATTTGTTTCACTTCACATGATACTGTATACCTTTCCCTATTCAGATATACATATTTTTAATGAAAAATTTTAAACACAATTTTAACTGAGTGTATAATATTCCCAGTGTGTGTGAATATTTATGTGTATGTTTGTGTGTGTGATTCAACCTACCATTATCCTCCTAGGTATTTGGTTTTTTTCTGGCAGTTTGCATTATGAGAAAGCTTTATCTGTTTTGGAATTGGGTGCTCAGTATAGAAATCTAGAGCTGAAGTTGTTCAGTCAGTGATTAGGAATGATGAGTTAGTGTGTATATATGTATATGCGTGTATATGCACAAACATGCACACATACATAATGCATATCTATACTTTCAAAAGGCCTTATTCCAATTTATACTCCAAACATTTTTAAGTTACTATTTCATTTCAGTTTGTCCATACATCGTCTTATTCATTTTACTAATTTTATACTGTTTTTCTTTTTTGCTAATATCTGAGATTGGGCATTTTCCCATGTGCTTGTTTTCTATATTATATTATTCTAAAATATGAAACACTAATTTAAGTCCTTTACCTATTTATCTAATTTCTTTCATCATTTCATGGTTTCTAAATATAACAAGTTCTTCTGTCTCCAAGGGTCAAATAATGTTCTATTCAATTTCCTTTTATAATTTTTCTATGTGTATTTTCTTCATTATGAAAGTGCTATTGGAGAAATTTGGTAATCACTGATATGTGAAAAGATGCAAAAATAAAAATAACCATATATTCCAATAATAACAATAAGTGTGTTGATATTTTTTTAAAATTTCTATTCATTTTTTCTTTGTATACTTGAGATTTTTATGTTATTTTTTGCATTGTTAATATATTACAAATGTATTTAATTTCATAAAAATTATTTGTAAATCCCATTATTTGCTACAAAGTATGTTATCACATAGATATATTATAATTACTTTAACCCTTACCTAGATTTGAATATTAATTTCTCATAATTTTTGCTTTTGCAAATAATGTGAGCATCTTTTTATGTAGATATTGTTAACATTTCTAATAATTTCCATTGTAAAATATATTTAAATGTATAATTACTTGGTAAAAATGTTGAATATTTTTATTTATTTATTTTTTGTGAGGAAGATCAGCCCTGAGCTAACATCTATTGCCAATCCTCCTCCTTTTTTTTTTCCCCCCAAAGCCCCAGTAGATAGTTGTATGTCATAGTTGCACAGCCTTCTAGTTGCTGTATGTGGGGCACAGCCTCAGCATGGCCGGAGAAGCGGTGCGTCAGTGGGCACCCAGGATCTGAACCTCGGCCGCCAGTAGCGGAGCGCACGCACTTAACCGCTAAGCCACGGGGCCGGCCCCCAAATGTTGAATATTTTTAAGGCTCTTGAAACATAAGGCAAGTTGTTTTTAAAGATTTCATCTTTGTCAGCACTCCTTTATCGAGTTTGGTCTCCGGTGGGCCACTTTCAGTCTGGAGTCTCCGGTGGGCCACTTTCAGTCAGAGTCTTGTTAACTCTGGAAAAGGTGGTATAAGTTTATTTATTTAAAATTGTATGTAATTCTAGACATGGGAAAATGAGACAACACAGAATTCTTGGAATAGAGCTCCACGAATTGATGTGAACCTACTGATGTCCTAGTCCATTTTAACAACTGGCTTTCTGGATAAGAGAAAAGGATGCATCCTATATGTGCAATAAGTTTATTATATATTTTACTGATATAAAGGATATGTAGCATTAATTTACAAATAATAATTAAATGTACAATATTCTTTATTGTAAATTCCAAACAGTCAATTGATTCTCACATAAGGCTTTCACTGATAATTTGCCCAACTTTTGTATCTGTAGCCAATTTATGATTGTCATTGACAAGTGAGTATAGCTCTGACAAATGTTGGTTGATGTTTTCATTTGGGTTAACAACTAAGACAAAAGTGAAACAATGAAGACGTATGCTGGAATTTCACTCCTTTGTCACTAGGCTTCTTTGCTGAATTGAATAATAGTTTTTAAACACTGGAAGAACATTTCTTAAGACTTTTTATGCTATTCACAATATAACAGCTACAGATATGGCACAATTGTAAGTTTAATTTTCATTATTAACATTTTGCTCATCAATTTATGAAGTTAGACAATAAAAATACAATAAATCAAGCTCTTAATTGAAACATTTGCTGATTTCCATGTTGTAAATACTTACACCACAGCCAATTTAGACTACTAATCTGACCGCAGTGAGTGAGAAATTGGGGAGAAATGCACAGGAGAACACTGTTATATTGTATTTCTATCATAAAATACAATAGACAGAACCGCAAAAGTATACCAATAATAAAATGTAGTGAAATAGTTAGGAAGTGATGAGTTTTGAGTATTTATTACCTTTTAAGTATAATGTATTTAATTGTAAGTTTATATAATTCAATTTTTAATAAAGGCTTTGTTTACCAGCTGGCACGCAATATTCCTGAAAATAAACCATGTAAAACGTAAAATCATGTAAAATGTAAATGTAAACCTGAAAATGTAAACCATGAAAATGAACCATTATGAGGCTGCTCTGGCATACCACTGCTTAACCCCAAATGTAATGAAAAATTTATCTGCAGATAGTTCAAGTAAAAGTGTTAACATCTTATCACAAAAACAGCAGGAAATCATTTCACCTGTCCCCACCACTTAGACCTGCTCCCAAGGAGGCATCTGATTCAACTCTTTTAACTGATTCCAGTAGTATATCCCCACATGAAAAAAAAAAGGCCTTATTCTTTTTCTTGATTTATTCATATTAAACATAGTGTATTGACTTCCTGCATTACTATCCTCCAATCCATATCACTGTTAATAGCTACATTATAATTTATGGATAAATAAATATCAGTATTTATAATATAGAAATGTACTTTTGAGCCACATGGATATTTCTTTTTTCTTATAAAATTCTTAATATATTCTTGGTATTAATACCCCTCATCTCTGATTGATTGATTTCTCTGTCTATTTATTTATTTCTACATAATTTTCTCCCACATATTGCAATGTCTTTACTCTAGCATATTAGTAATATTTTCTGTGCACTTAATAATGTCAGTTCTATTTTATTTTATTTTTCTTGGAGACTTCTGTGTTCTTTTTCTGTTGCTGTGTAACAAGTCATCACAAACTTTGTGCCTTAAAACCACCCCATTTGTTATCTCATAGTTTCTGTGGATCAGGAGAACAGTTGTGGCTCAGCTGGGTCCTCCTTCCAGGATTTCCCAGGCTGCAGTCAAGGTGTTGGTTGGGCTGTGTTCCTTTCTAGAGCACGGGCTCCTCTTCTAAGCTCATGTGGTTGTTGGCAGAATTCACTTAAGCAAGTGTGTGTTTTACTGTGATATTCTCTCTTTGATATGTCTTTTTAAAAATAATTTCATTTGATATTTAGCAAAATTGGTATTATCATTCTAGAAGCTTCCTTTACAGTAAGTGCTCCTAATTCTTTTTTCTTACTTAACATTTCACTATCTCATCTATCAGTTTTTAGAGGTATCCTTGATGCATCTTATTACCTATATGACAATTAATGATCTTATTCTACTTTCCCCTCTCTTCCATTTTTTAGCTGCATTCTTTCCACTCTGTTAGAACATGTAATATTAACATACTATTCTTGTACCTGGAAGACTTAATTTCCCTCTTGTTTCTTCTTTGCCTTCACTACCATGCTTCCAAAAGGCACCACACCTTTTCTGTGCAGCTGATTCTCCCACAGAAGCTCTGCTTCTTTATGGCGACAATTCTAGTCCCACCCACTTTCAAGCTTTTCTCTGTAGATTTATCAAGTCCTGACCAGTGTTCAGTATTTGGCATTCAACATGGGACTTTCTCTTTAGGGGGTGATTTGTTCCTCTTCTCTACATCCCTCACGCTTCTCTGTGCTTTCATAAAGTCTCTTGTCACCCCTTCCCTGCTCTTCACACTGAAAGGCTTAGTGGTGGTAGAAACTCTATTGGAATGTGGCATTTGGTTGAAAGGTATGTAGTCTCTGTTTCCTGGTAATGGTGAAGGTACAGCTCCTGTGTGCGTTTAATTGCTCATGTGTGGGAGAGTGTGTGGGAAGATTTGAAATCAGGCAGCTGCCATTTTCTTACAGATCTGAAAGTTGAGTAAATAAGGTGTTATTTATTCAATAATGTCCTCTCCATCATCTAGATTAGTCTTTGGCTGTCCTTTCTTTGCCAATTTTAGTCTCTGTTGTGTTTGTTCTGCTTTCTGGGTATTTCTTAGACTTTGTTCTCAAACCCTTTGTCTTAGTTCAGGCTGCTATGACAAAAATACCACAGACTGGATGGCTTAAAAAACAAACATTTATTTCTCATTTTTCTAGAGGCTAGAAGTCCAAGATCAAGATGCTGGCAGATCATGTGTCTGGGGAGAGCTCTCTTCCTGGTTTGCAGACTGCTCATCTTATTAGTCTTCTTGCTGTATCCTCACATAGCAGAGAGAGAGAGGCCTCCCTCTTCTTATAAGGGCACTAATCTTATCATAGAACTCCACCCTCATGACCTCATCAAAATCTAATTACCCTTCAAAGGCCCCACCTCCTAGTACCATCACACTGAGGGTAATGGCTTCAACATGTGAATTTGAGGGGGGGAGGGGCACAAAGACATAGTCCATAGCACGCTTCTATTGAATTTTTTGTTCTATCATGTTTTCAAATTTAAATAGCTCTGCCTTGTTTTTTGTTTTTATCATAGTGTCTGATTCTTCTTTCATGCTTATAGTATATTTTTGTATTTCTCTGAGGGTGGTTATAACTTTTTGGACGTTTTCCCCTCAATCTCTGAGTTGTTTCTGCTTTTCTGTTTTGGTCTCTAGCCATCAAATCCTAATCCAAGCCACAAACATTTCTTGCCTGGATTATGGCAGTCATCTCTGTATGAATCAAGGTCCAATCAGGACAATAGTAACTACTCTAGGTGTTTCAAATAGAGGGACTTTTATATGGGAAATCACTTACATAATGATGGAAGAACTGAGAAGGCGAATGGGATTGTGGGGAAATGCCCCAAGGGCTGGAGTGACAATTGAGTGAGGTGGTGTTTCCAGACTCTGAAAACCAGTGTTGTACAGAAAAACCTAGAATCATGTGGGGGCCGCACAGTGGGTTCTGGCACCACAGAGAAGTTGCTGCCTGGAACAGAAAGAGGGAGAGAAAGACCGAGCTTCTGCCTCAGCCTGTGTCACCCCCCACCCCTCGCGCGCGCCGTCTTTCCCGGAGCCTCTCCTGGCCCTCTGCCGGGAAACAGCAAAGAGTCACCAGGAACTTCAAGTCCCAGGACTCCTGCCCTCCCACTTAGGACAGAGAGCAGAATAGAGGCGGGCCTGGAAGGGATCTGAGAGAGAACAGTCTATTCCCCACACACTGGCAAGAATGAGCCTTAAAGATGCACGACTGGTCCTCTCTGTCCTCTGCTTAAAACTCTCGAGTGACTTTCCAGTTATTCTGAGGAAAGGAAAGCGCGCGCTAAAAAGGACACGGCTCCTCGCAGTGACTTGGGCTGACCGGGGCCCCAGCTCCTCCCACGTCGTCTTCCTGGACTCTCCTTCTTGCTTGCCTTCCTCTTGCCTTGCTGGCCTCCTTGAACATTGCTGCTGCTGAACATTCTCACATAAAACGGGAAATCTCCCTCATACTGCCTATGCGCTTACTCTGCTTTAGTTCATCTGTATAACCTCACACTAGCTGCCATCTTATCTATTGGTTTGTTTATTTTGTTTGGTCATCCCTTCACCAGAATATGAGCTACATCAAGGGAAGAATTTTATTGGTTTATCCACAGCACCTAGAATATTGTAGGCAACCATTTAATGTTTGTTGGTTGAATGAGTTAATTATGCAATTGTTTATTGAGCGCCAACAATGAAAAAATGAATCACTCTTGAGTGATTAAGTTGTGGGAGGGTCTTTTCTTCGGGAACACACTCCATTTTCAGTGCCTGAAGGCATTTTCTCTGAGACTGCTTAGTATCTTCAGGGAGAAGCCTCAATCTTGTGCCTGGAGTGAGGAGGGGTAGAGATGGAGTGGGCAGGAGAAGGGGGCAAACTCCTGGCTAGTTGAGATTTCTATAGTTCCATTTATGAACTTTTCTTAATTCCTGCCACTTCCATGGATTTGGATTGTTTCCAGATAATGACCCTTGGACCCCTACCTTACTGCACAGGGAAGGACCTGGGGCTCCAGCTGATCTGTACCCAGACTTCAGTCAGCTTTTTTCTCAGGCCCCTTGTCATCACCACGTTTGTGTTCCTGGTGCCCACCTTGGGGCTTCTGTGGGAGGAGAATGGCTGTCCTCTTCCACAGTCCCCTCTGCAGGGACTGAGCTGTGGACCATTCCTGGATCGCCTTGGTCGCTATCACAGCTCCATCCACTTATGGTTTTCAAAATATTGTTTGAAACCTCTTGCCTACTGTTGTTGTCTTCTCTTGTAATTTTTGTCTTTGTAGGTTAAGGTCTTGTAAAAAATCCTTTATTGTTGTTTTAGCAGACTTTTGGGAGAGAGCAAAGAGAAACATATGTGTTCTGCTCCTTTAACCAAAATTCCCCTGATTCTGTTTTATTATCAAGACCCGGGGCTGATATGAGTAGGAATAAACACTTTCACAGTCAAATTTTATTTTGTTTTATCTTTGTCTTTTTACTGTTTGGCACATTTGTGTAACTTCGAAATCCTCAATGAAAGGTGAAAAACAAAATAAAACAAATGAACAGAAGGAAAATGAGAATTGGCATGACGACGAGAAGTAAGAATCCTTCCTTTATTGCTGTGTCTAGGATGGGAGTTCCCCCAGCTGTCCTCAGATCTGCTCCTTACAAGAAGACACAAGGATCAAGGCAGACCCCAGGGCACGTGTCACTGCACAGAAAACCCTTTCCCTGCATTGCTCCCCCACAGTCACAAAAGCAGGGGTGATGGGTGTCCTGACTCTATTTTTACAAAACCTGTATAATTTATTGAAATGGAAACCCAGAGGCTTATCTCTCTCTCATATTGCTCCCCAAGGACTCAATTCCAAAAAGCAGTCAGCAGAAATGATGACTGTTCCCCCAAAACAGTTCTGCAGAATGAATAAATACTCCTGAAATGCAGAACTGAGAGGAGAGAAAATAAACCAATCAGCCAAACAATACAAACCATTTGCCCAAAAGCTGCCTCAATCATTTTGTGAGCTGATGATGAAGAGATTGCAATGAATTTTATTTCTTATATGCCTTGCATAAATTAGGAGGAGGGAGAGTAATCTATAGTGCAGTTGGCATCACTCCAAACTTTTCTCCAAAACACACAGAAAATAAATTCTAAAAAAACAAGAAAGCAAAGTCACCAGTAATTCAACTACTCTGAGAAAAAGTAATTTACTGTTAGGATTGTTTCTTTCTCTTTTGCTCTTGCTTTCTCATGTTAAGCTTCACCACAGAACTCCTTCAGTGTATAAACACAAACATGAGGGTGCATGCAGCCAAGCACTCACACACACACATACAGTCAGGCCCACACAGGTTTTCCTGTCTCTCCAGCACTTAGAATAGTGCCTTCCCCAAACAAAGAAGGAGGGTTAGAAGGAGAGGAGGGTCAGGGCTCTAGCATTAGCTGTGTGCTGTGCCTGGATGTCATGATGTTTAGCACAGCTCACAAGTCCGTTGTCCTACCTCTTGCACAGTGTGTATTCTCTAAAGGGCCTCTGGTAGGCTGCATGCATGGCTACTTCAGCCCACTGGGAGTTTTCTTATAAAATATTGAGGTTCGAAACAGAAAGAAGAGATTTTCTTCTTCTCTCTGTTTCTCACAAGAACTCTCTTGGACCCTTTACAAATTTGTCCATCCTTCTCTCATAACTTTTGAATTGTTATGATTGAGATCTTCCTAAAGTATTTTTGAGTTATTTAATTCTTAGCCTGTGCCAACCCAGACACAAAACTTGTTCTGGTCTTGCTCTAAAATAAGAACCTGAATTACATCTAAATAACAAAAAGGGAAATGCAATTGATTCTTCTTAATGAAATTTAGTATCTCATGCACACAAATTCAGGTGGATTTTGACTTTTCTCATGCACAAATTTACAATTTAGTGGACCTGTATTAGACACACACATACCCATACCCATACATATTTTACAAAACTCATTTATTTTACAAAAACTCAACCACACTATTTTTAATGTTTCATGAACACGTCAACCTAATTTTTGTAAAATTGGCAATGTTTTTAATGTATTTCTCTACATAAAAATTCTTTATCTATAGCATAATTTTTAATGTCATGGTATTTGTCATCAATGAATGTATCATAATTATTTGGTCCATTTTCTATTATTGGAAACTGTTTCATTTTTACTTTTTGCAATGATAAATAGTATTGCTACAATCAGTCTTCTACAAACATCTTTTAAAATATCTCCAATTATTTTCTTTAAAAAAT